GTATAAATGGTCCAACTTTTCGATTGGAACAGGATGAAGGATGATAATAAATAAAAATACAAAAGTCTTTATTCTTTCATTGAATTTGGACATTTATGATTTAAATTATAAAATAATGTATTCTTGTCCTTGTTTTAGTCGGCCGTTGGATAATCAATTGCTAATTTTAAACTTATGTTGAGACGCCTTGGTCTGGGACTCCGTAAAGGGTGTTACTGACACAAAAAACAGTGGTAAATTCCTGGTACATTCAACTCATGTTCAAATGCAGTTTTATATAATAATTTTAAATAATCAATGTTATGTTTGAGATTTTATGCTATTTAATATTTTTTTAACTTCAATTTTTAAGGCTTTTAAATTTTTTAAAATAAATTTTATTCACTGTTACTGTAGATTACGTATCTGATGAAGGACGTGAGACGACCGAAACGCGAATAAATGTTTTGAACGAAGCATTGGGACTTTTCTGCTGGCGCCGCTCACCTCAACATAAGTTTAAAATTAGCAAATAATGTATTCTTTTTACTTGTGATTGATAGATTTTATTTGTGGATAGTGTATGAGGATTGAGGCCCATGTATGCCTTCCTCATTTCCTTCCAGATTCGCTTGTCATTGGCTTCCCTTCCCCGAGACTGGCTTCTGCGTATTTTGCTATTTCATCCGTCCATAACTCCATCTTCTTGGCAGACTTTCACGACTTCCATATTTAATTTTTCTGGTCTTCTCTGTACTCCCGGTGTCGAGAGGGATATGGAGTCGATAGACATACCCGGCCATTTCCTGGACACCCGGTTCCTGTTAACACGCAGTCTTTTCATCCACGTGTGCCCTGGCCTAACCCATCAATAAACCCTGCGTCCCATGCCCAGCCTACGATTTTGCCGTTTCGCATCACGACCTCGTCTTTCACACCATTTTTACCGCGAAAATTGACATGTCTCTCAACCGGCAGGTCAATCACAACGTCACCTTTGATACAACTGATTTTGCGGGTGCGGACAATCGCGCCCACACTGGAGACATGGCCGTAGGCTTCCAAGCTGACAAAGCAGCCTGTCAGGTCATAGGTTCTGCTGTTTTGTATCTCAACCTTGCCCGTCAATCTCATCTGCATCGGCACGGTAGCCTGATTACCTGTCACCGGTCAGGCATCCGCGCCTTCAATCACATTGACTTAACGAAGCTGCCCGACGGAATATAGGGATTGCGTTCGCTTTTTGCGTTGGGGGTGTCGTAAACGTCTGGCGCATTAATTCCCCAGGTAACGGTACAGCCTGGGTCTGAATTTGAGGGAACGGTGGGTTGCCAACGCCAGAATAAAACGCAGATGGCGGGGGTACTTGTCCATTAGGTATCGCAGGCGGAAATTGCCCTGGTGCAGGGCTCGCCTTCGGGGTGTTGGGACTGGCAGGGAGGTTAACGTGATTTGTTTCCCCTTTCTACCCTATTGTTTTCATTTGTGCATTTAAGCGGTATTTCGGAAAGACTTGCTGTTATCTAATTCTCAAAGTACTCCCTTCCCTCCATTTCTAGAGGTTCCGATCTGAGATGCGTTATGGTTATTTGAGCTAAAGAACAAGTTTTGATACCATGGGGTCAAATTTTTTCATCTTATATCCTCATTTTTTTTAATATGAGTCTCAGTGACCAGTAGTGTTTCCACCTTTAAGAAATTCTTTTATTTATCATTTTCTTAAGAGAGATCAACCGATCTATGTTACCATGCTTTTGAACCACTAGTGTTTTTCCTGGCACATCTTTTGTTTGTAAAATTTATCCGTATTCTACGCAATGGTGTATTTGAAATTTTATTGTTACCGATCATTAACTCATTAAACATTAGCAGACACACTAAAGATGGCGACCTTACCTTGACAGACCAATCCGACGAGGATAGGCAGACTAAAATGACCAGGAATGAAATTTCATCTTTATTTTTTCTTTTGACCCTTCCGTGGTTAGTCTTTTTCTTCAGTTTATTCGAAAAACCTAAAACCTATTTCTCTCTTTCTCTTTTTCTTTCTCTCTCTCGCTCTCTCTCTCTCTCTCTCTCTCTCTTTCTCTTTCTTTCTCTTTTTCTCTCTCTCTCTCTTTCTCTTTTTCTTNCGCTCTCTCTCTCTCTCTATCTATCTATCTATCTATCTATCTATCTATATATATATATATATATATATTCTATCTATCTCCCACCTACCCCCGAAATGCCTCCCCTTTTGTTTTTAAAGGAATGAAAAGAAGAAAATTATTTATCAAAATGATGATAACCTAAAAGAAAGATTTGAGGTAGCTGTTGGTATTTTGCTCGGTTAGGTAAGTCAGGCGAATTGTATTCACTTATCATCAATTACTTCTTTTTTTAATGCTTTTTGTTTAATTTTGGTGCGAACGTTTGCGTAACATCAATAATAAAGGTCTACATTGAATCCCCAATCTTTCTTTTCATCTTGCGCTTTAGGAATTATTGTTATTTAATAATTGAAAATATCTATTTTTTCCTGTCGGACTAAACGGCTTACATTTGAAGCGTCATATGAAAGTGTGGATGTTTCTTGTCGTCCTTCGACTGTGATTGGGAAGAAGTATGGTTGCGGTTAAATGGAAAGCCGGTTGTTTCACAACCAGCTAAAATGTCAAATAGGAAAATAATTTTCACGTCGGATCAAAATTCCGACTTTTATCTTCAATACACAGTATTAAGGATTCTAGAGGTTACTACATCGCATAGAAGAGGATATTTTTATCCGTGAACATACTTAAGTACATCTTTGTTTGAATAAGTAAGTTAAATTTTTAATTTTACTACATCCGCCTCAAATAATTCATATAAAGTATAACGAAAGTTTGTTGGGGATTGGTGGATTGGTAGTGATGTTATGTTTTTATTTTTATTTATTTTTGTTTTTACGAGGGTTCGCATCAACAGAGGTCATATCAATCTCGGGGTAAAAAGACGATTTGTAAGTATGTGGACCTGGACTGATGAGAGCCGTGTAAACGCCTAACGATGCGACCCCCGACGCCCCCCCCCCTTATGACGGTATGTTTACTGGCAATTTATTGAAATTTCAACAAATTGAAAACTGTGACTAATTTTTGTCTATTTACGTAGCGTATTAAACTTATTTACACTTCTGGTTTCATAAAAATAATTAAAGTGGAGTAAGTATGTAGATTCACGTTTTGTTTCATGTTCTTGTAGGTTATTTACGTAAGTATAATTTTAATATTTTTGTTTATATACAATAGGGTGAGGTATACGTAAGAATTATCACAGCCATTATTTTATTATCACTAAAAACTACTTTACAAGACTCATTCTTTTTCGTGTACAGTATAATCCTCGTTAATCTTTTTTATATTATGAATATATTCTTTACATGATATACGCGGAAAAAAACAGACACTTGTATTTATTTGTTTTTATTTTCCATAATAAATAAATATAAAGATTAATTAAATTCACTAGTTTTCGTGATCCGCTTGACCAATTAATATCTCTCCGAGTGGATCGAAGTCACGATAGCTCATGTGGTAGAGCAGCGGCGTATCTAGCCGAAGATCGTGGGTTCGAATCCCGCTCGTGACACTGACTTTTTAATCTTAACTAAAAACGTTAATTAATTGTGAGATATTAACTGGTCAATCGGACCAGGAAAACAAGTGAATTTAATACGTTAAAATGAAGTAAACCTTCACTGTCTCCGTGGCCATTTCATTTGTCGCCGAGAATCAAATAGATTACACGAAATTTGAAAAATGGCAAAAAGGAGGGAAAATTCAAAAGGTGGGGTTGAGATGGGAAGTTAGTGTCCGAGTAGTTCGAGGTCACGATAGCTCAAGTGGTAGAGCAGCGGCGTATCAAGCCGAAGATCATAAGTTCGAATCCCACTCGTGACACTGACTTTTTAATCTCATCTAAAAACCTTAATTAATAAAGATTAATAGATGACTTAAAACTTAACACAACGTTAATCACTTGTTTACCTTAGAGTGATACTAATATTTTTAAACTCGATTAAAATAAAGCAAATCAGTTCAATTTCAATTTTAACGTATATACACTGATGGAAAAATTTAAAGCACCCCTCAATTTATTTATTATAAAGCTAAGTACATTATCTTTCTATATTTGTTTCAGGTAATTAGGAGCTATCGTAATCAAAATAAACAGTAAATAAAGCTTTGTTTACATCCTTTGTTCACTTTTGTACTAATTAATCCCATTTGAATAAAAATAGCGTTATGCCCGTCCATTCTGATACGTTTAATAAAGATCGCTTTCAGTTAATCTTTTTCCTTCGTTGATTTCGTTCAATATTGTTCTTATTCTTAAACATTTTTTTGTTTTTTTTCAATTGATCCAGACAAGCATTTTGCGAGTATGACAGTGTCTGGCTCTTAACATTGTTAGAAGAAGGATGCAGCCAGCGCCAAGCCGAAGGAGACTGAATGTATAATAGGAAGGGCACTTCAGAGAAACAGAGCTTCACACTAGAAGGCCAGGACAGGGCAGACTTTTGGGTCTATGACGTGAGAGACGATAGATTCCTCCGTCATCAGGCCCTAAGAAACTGCAGCATTACAGTAAATGAGATAAGCAATCTGATAAGACAAGTCCGAAATGTTTCGATTTCCTCCAGGACTGTAAGAAGAAGGCTCAATGAAATTGACCTCAGAGCCCGGCACCCGGCTCAAATTTTCAGATGAGTGTAATCTGAATCAGAAAGATATACTTCATGGTGTACGGTTCCTCAGGTGGCATTCCACGGTGGGTTATTGATGATCTTGGGGTGGCATTTTCTTAGAAGCTCGCACCGAATTGGTTGTCGTGCAGGAAGATCTGTGACTTCACCGAGTTACTGACATGATTTGTTTTTCCTTGTATTTTTTTTCATCCTTGGCCATCAAATGGTGTGAAGGCATGCAATAATGAGTGTGGAACATAGAGAAAGGAAGGAGGAGGGTTTAAAGGATGGTGGTATAGAAAAAGTACTATTTTCATACTATACATTTAATTTGGGGTTGAAAAGACAAATAACTCATCTACAAAATATATATACGTACACATTCAAAACAATTAAAAATATTTTTTGTGAAAATATTCACTAGCATATATTGGGAAAAATTGGTTAATGGCAAGACAGTCGTTGCAAATGATTTGGTTTGGCTTTGTCGCCGAAGGATGCTCGCTCACGATTTCCCTTGTGGAATTCCTGGGATGGACTAGACCCTTGGAAGACTTCAAGGACGGTTCCGTCACGCAATCTGCTGTCTGATCCAAGACATGTAGTGGTCGACAGAGGCGAAAACCGTCGGATTGCCCTTTCCGCAATCGATGCCCCAGGAGATGATGCCCACCTGAGCGAGCCTGGTGCTGTCTTTCCGGAGCGGACAGATAAGCGGACCTCCACCGTCCCCCTGAAGAAATCAGACAGGTTAAAAACAAATGAGAGAGAATTAATTGCCCATTATGATCAAATAAAAATATAAAATCGACGCGGATCTTACTTTGCAGGTATCCATGCCGGTTTGTCCACCGGCGCAGAGGAACCCGGGAAGGAGGGAGAAGTACTTGCCGAGCCGTGTCAGTCGCATCTTATTTTGGCACTCGTCCCTCGTGATCACCGGGAGATCCACCCTCTTCAGCGAGTCTTGCACGAGGTCCTTGGTATCTGTTATGAGAAAAGAACAGAACAATCATTAGCAAGAGTTAAAGAACAAAACAAGATTAACAAAACAAGAACGAAGAAGCTGCAACAAACTGTACACTTGTATTTTCCTACCGCTAAACTAGGCTAGATCAGAAGGAGTCGGCCTCTTTACGACCTACGAACGTGCATCTCCATTGTTGACTAGAACTCCCCATTAAGCTTAGGGCTTTTTACAAGATCTGAAAGCTTTTCCAAGGACTTCTGTATGTATACTACATACCCGGGCTTTCCCCTCCCAGTACTAGGAGTTTCAGCCTTCGTAAACGTTTGCACCAACAGAGAATAAGTTTCGCTATTTCTTTTTCTTCCTGGCAATCTGCACAGCCTTGTTTCTGCCGCACCGAGTTTAAACATATATCTCTGGAGTCTGCAGAGTTAGCAGTCCAACTATTATTCCAGTCATAAAACGTCCTTCGTGGTTCAGCCGTTATTTCCGGTGAAGATCCTTTGATGAACTTTTTTGCATCCTTCTGTCATGAAATACATTTTTATTGAACCGTGGACTTATTTTTAATCCTTGTCTCATAGATCCTCGTTTTTGTCAGTTTGGTATGCCAAAAAAGGGCCAAGGACCCTTTTAGAATAGAAGTCCTAATCGAACTTTCCTCGGCCAATTTATCGGCCCTGTGTGCCCAGGTTCCCACACTAGGGTCATTTTGTTGTAATCCCAAATGTTTGAAAGGGGCAGTACCAAACCACTCTGAACTTTAGTGCCACTTGTCAGTCCGAGGGGATGGCCTTTCTTTTGTAAACATTATTTAGCCTTTTAATCTCCTTTGACACAGTGTTATTGCAAAGACAAGTCTACATTTATTATTTAACAAGTTAAACTACGACGAATGAATGCTGTATTTTTTCCTTTTTGGTTGTCACCTAATTTGGTGTTTTATGCTATGATGCTTACCCTTTTATTCTAGTCATTTTTTAAAATCTAATATATTGTTGTAATGCACGAGAACCAAGTTAAAAACTTCTTGAGAACTTTATGAAACAACTTTATGTACCACTCACGGATGGCAGGGATAAAAGGCGGTCTAAATGAGACCGATGGTAATTATTAAACGATTTTAGTATTATTACAGAAGGTTTAAAAACTGACTTTTGTCTGTGACACCCCATCCGTAGGCGACGCAGTCTTTAGTGTTGACCGGTTCGGCAGCGTCTGGCGTGCATATGACGTCTACGGTCTCGCTGAAGACGGCCGGCGTGTCGAGTTCAATAAGAGCGACATCGTTGGCCAGGTTTTTACTGTTGAAATCCGGGTGAGTGATGACGGTCTTGACTTTTTTGTCAACGTGCTTGATCGGCTCGTCTGTCGTGCTAGTGTTGTACTCGCCCACCCTGACGGTCAGCCGACTGAACCCCGTCTCCCTGAAATACAAGCAGGTCAGAAGAGGAAAGCCATCTTCTTAAATCCGATACTCACGGAATGCAATGTGCAGCCGTCATGACGATGGAGGGCTTGACGAGGGTACCGCCGCACACGAATGTATCCTGATTCATTATCATTACCATCCAAGGCGCCTCACCGTAAAACGTATCGGCTACGGAACATAAAGAATCCATCGGATCCAATTTAGTTTCCTTTATACTCGTCCACGTGCGTGGATTTTACCTAAACTGCCGGCGTTGGAGATCCTCGATGGAAGCAACCCCACCCTCCTCCGCCCACATCCCGGTGTCCCAAGGACTGTCGGCAGGGTATATTTCGTCGAATTGTTTATTCGAGTCGGATCGACGGGTCGAGGGTTCGTCTGGCCTGAAGGAGTGGTCGCTTGATCGACGGGTGGAGGGTCCGTCTGTCCTGGAGAAAGGGGCTCTGGATCGCCATCGACTGGCTCTGGGTCGACAGGCTCGGGAAAGACAGGTTGAGGATTATCGGGTTTCGCTCTGTCGGTCGTCGTCGTGGGAAGCTGACAGCAGACATCAATACCAGCACATGTTTTTAACCTGGAAGCAAATGTTCGACATTGATCGTTGTAAAGTCAATGTACAGAGTGTCCAAGCTAATGCGCTCACCCATTTTTTTGCGGTTCTATATAGGAAAAAAGTATGAATTGAGATTCCCCTCCATTTTTCATGTAGTTTGTTCATGTTTTATTTTTTTTCGACCTCGATTCGACATAAGTCGAATTCAAATTCTTATTTTTAAATTAGAACCCCCATTTTTCACATTTTTCTTTGAAACTAGATTTTTGGCGAGATAAAATGAGCACTGAGTTATCTATTAACATCGGTCTAATAGAACTGTAGATATGATTTTTTGAAAATAGCCGTAATGCTGTTCTAGTGCGTTAGGTCGAAACCACTTTTTGCCTTCTACTGCAAATATTTTGAAGAGGAGTGGAAAATCACCCCAAGTAGAGAGAAAAGTCTGAAAGCTTACTAATTTTCTGCCAAATCCCAAAAATTTCGTATTTTGTATCTTTTTCTCCTCGACCAATACCTTATCTTACCCAAGACTCATTCATCGAAATACCTTGGTTGCAGTTCTGGTGGTACGAGCTAACGGATAGATGGTCTGGCACATAATAAAAATATATATATATATATTAAACAATTAATTATTCTTTTCATCTCAACCAAAACCTTAGGTAAAAAGAATAATTAATTGGAATAATTAATATGGTCAATTATGACCCCTAAACAAATATGGATTAATATATGTTAACTACAAAGAGAGGACCCAAATCCAAATCCATCAAAAAAGTCCATTTTGGACATGCGTCTTTTCGACAAGTAAACTTTCCTTTTTTAAATATTACTTAAAAATAATGTGAGGTGATTAGTGACTGTTAGTCGATGATTATTCAGAGATCGTGAGATGCGGTCTGGTCTGACGTAGGTTTTAGAAAAACATTTTCTTTATCGTGCCAACGGGCACTCTCAACACGACACACAAGAATGGCACAATGTCGCAGAAAAACAAACACTTTGAGCCCTGAAGATGATCTCAATAAAGATAGAAACGTTGGCACGATAAAGAAAATGTTTTTCTAAAACCTACATCATACCAGACCGCATCTCACGATCTCTGAATAATCATCTTAAAAATAATACAAATTTTTATATTAATAATCTTAAATTATACATGCAAAATAGTTTATATCTTTTAAAAAAAATATATAATGAAAAATTAAAAAAATTAAATGTAAGGTAAACTTTATAATAAATGTTAAATACTTTGTTGCAATTTATCCTTTGTTATACTTAAGTCTTTGAAAAATGTACATTCTGATGATGAGTGTAAATTCCCGAAACATCCATATAAATGTTTAAATAAGTAATGAATTTATTTTTTAAAAAATCACGGATTTTTTTTTAACAAAAACCAAAAAAATTAAAAAAGGAACAAGAAGCTCGACCGAAATCGAGATGTGTTCTGCTTGACGAATGAGAAATATAGAAGAACAGGGAAACTGCGGGATCTCTGCTGGTTCTTCAAGCTACGATACTGAAATGTGGTCTCTGGGCAATAAAGAGAATAGGAGTACCATTTTATCCGAGATGCGTGCTTCATATCTAGGTAGTGTTGTGCTTTCGGAAAAAAACCTCGTCAAACTATTAAATGAGCCAAGCGTGCAGCTAATAAAGTTAGCTGGCCGTGCCTCGTTTCCCGCAGGGAATTGGTGCAATAGTTTAAGCTATGATTTATTAAAATATTTTTTAGATAATAAATTGTATATGAATTATTTATCTTGTTCTCTGTTCAACACATTATTTTATTTGCTTTCTTTTTCTTTCTGATTATATTATAAAACAGAGAATATTATGTTTTATTAGCTATTTCATTATTTCTGTTATCAATATTTCATCTCGACTCTCGACCCTATGCAGACGGATATTCCATTGCTGTTAATACATGTTTTTAAAAAGGGTATGTTTTGTTATTTATATTATCTGCCAAATAAAGTATTATTATTTTTATTATTAATTTTATTAGTTTATATATATATGTATATATGTATATATATATATTTAGTACTCTTAATTGACTCTGTTAATTATTTCAATATACTTTTTATCTAAGGTCTTGACTGAGATCTGAGATGAAAAAGCCAGTATCACGAGCGGGATTCGAACACACGACCTTCGCCTCTGCTATCGGGATTATTTTTTGTCACGATAGTTCAAGTGGTTAGAGCAGCGTCGTATTGAGCCGAAGGTCGTGGGTTCGAATCCCACTCGTGACATTGGTTTTTCATTTGATCAAGACCCTCGTTAAAAAGTATAATTAATTTAAATTAATATTAGTCTCAAAAATTTCCATGTTTCAAAAAAACACCTTATAAGATAATTTTATTGTGCCATTCGTTAGGCAGGCAATTCGAAAGAGTAGGTTGTTTTCATCAATAAAATTATTATACATATATTAAAATAATAAACTAAACAACTGACAAAATTATATTATATAACATTATGATTATAAAATTATTATTCGATTTTATTTTACAATAAATAAATTTCTCAACTAATTATATTTGGTTCGTTGTTTGTTGTTCCCAAGAACCAGCCGTAATTACGCAATTCGAACAACTTTAGCAAAAATAAAACAAAATATACTCAACGACAAAAAAAACCGGACACTCGTATTTTCTTGCTTATTTCAAACTATATTTATTTTTATTGTTATATAGATTACAACATGCTTATTTTAATGAAAACCAAATTAAAACGAGATCAGAAATTCATGAGTTTTAATAAACATTATTTAATCGATTTTTGATCAATAATTTTTTTTTTGTATTGTAAAATTGTCCAGATGTTTGAAAAAATGATAATCGAGAGGTCTGGAGAATAGGGAGGTTGGGGCAGAACCTCTTAACCAAGATCCAACCGTTTTTCGTGTTGAAGCCGAGCGAGAGTTGTGGGTAACAGAATCGGCCTTTTCCGATGGCATCGATAATGCCAATTTCTGGTGCATTGCTTCAATTTGAGAGCAATACATATCGGCAGTGATTGTTCCGCCAGGATTCAAGAAGCTGTAGTAAATCAGCCCAATTGAATCCCATCAAAGAGTCATCATCACTTTTTTTGATAAGTTGGGGGCTTTGGAAAACGTGCTGCTGCTTCTCCTTTGTCGAACAACTGTCCAGAACGTCTGCTGTTATCGTTCTACTTTCCATCACAAGGAACAATTCTATCCAGAAAATGTTCTTTTCTGTTTCGGCAAAGAAGTGTTGCGCAAACTTCATAACGATGATTTTCTTGGTGATCGTTTAATGCACAAGGAAGCCAACTTTCGAGCTTTTTCACCTTTCCAATTGCCTCAAAGTGCTCAGCGACGTGCGATTTGCTAACTGAACGATTCTCTCCAAATTCTCGAACAGTTGTTCTGGGATTTTCTTCGACCAAAGCTCGCAGAACATTATCATCTAGGGAAGAAATCCTTGCGATCTATCTACTTTGCTTCAAGGCTAAAGTCTTTCTAGAAATTGTTTAAACCATTTATGAACGGTGCTCTCACACTACCATCGCCCATGGCTTCATTGATGTTTTTGACCGTTTGGGCACCGTTCCGACCGAGTTTTAAACTCATAAAAAAATCACATGTTGACATCGTAATAAAGACTGAATTATTCCCAAGTAAAGGAATGCTAGTGAGGTAAACAAAGATTTTTGTTTGGAAAAGGATTTTATTTATATATATTTGTTGATATTCGTACAAAATAATAATCAATGAAACGTAAACAGTTTATTATATAGAGGGGTAATTGAAAGAAAATATGAAAATGTGCATTATTTTCCGGGCAATCCAGTATATGTCTCCGCAATATCGGGAAATCTCTTCCTAAATAGAAAAAAAATTGACCCATCGTCAAATATCTTCTGATCTTTACGATTCTAAAAGACGTGTTTACTGTTAGAGAAGACGCCGTGTTAAACGCGGAGTCGCCACCGATTAACCGCCGACCTTTGTTTCCCAGTAAACCTTGATTGCGGGCCGGCGGGATTTCCCCTGGGCTTTCCAGAATTTTTTTTTAAAGGACGCGTTATCCTTTCTCCCACTGGTGATTAATAAAAAAGACAACTAATCGTATCACAGCTTTTGCCATTCCTTCGTGATACCTCTTTAATCTCGATTTTATTTTAATTTTAACTATTTATCGTTTTAATTTTTTTTAATATATATCTTTTTAGGGTTAATCTACGATTCACACAGTAAGGAATAAAACTGGCGATTTTTTGTTGCCATATTTTGCAAATGGATATTAAAAAATGTAATGTGCAGTATTTATCTTATCGAACTTCTTGCGGAGTAAAAACGGAAAAAACAATTTTGTTTGCATCATCAGATATAATAAATATATTTTAACCCACATTGCAGATTTTGATAGAGCTCAATCAAATGATCGAAATCTGGAAAAATTGAGATAAATATAACTTTTTCTTTACAGTTCCTCAATCCCATGCCGGGCAAACGGAAGAGTGACACATCTGACGGTTGTAAGAATAATCAAACAAAAACACTACATTACGTACTTAACAACAACACTTACTACTACGTACTTACTATACTTACGTATTATCGACATTTAAGCTTACTTTTATATATCTTCTTTTTTTCGAATAAATATTAACGACTGCTCGGGTATTTCTACTTTGAAATCAATAGTACGTAAATACGTTATCGTTGACTAAATGCGAATTAAATGTAAAAATATTGATGAAACTAATGTTTCAACTTCATAGGTTTAATTGTTGTTGTGTATTCGAATGACAACATAGATTTTATGTGCGTGCGATGATTTGTTTTACATAGCGTTTACTCTATAAGTCTCGTGGATTAGGGTTGTGGTCAGAAAAGCCTAGTGCTTTTGTGTTAACTCCAACCTTTCGACGATATATTTCGTCTTCTGCAGGGTCTACGGAGAACAGTCTTAATTAATTATGTATTACATATATTTATGTTGTATTTGGAACGCGACGGCAGTGTATGTAATACGATGCGTCCTGTTTCATTCTAAAATTCATTATAATAAAAATTTGTCAAACAGTACTTACTGATGTTTCAATCTTGTTTTAGAAAATTAAACCATTCCGTATTTATTAATTCAAATAAATTTATTACTGTTATTTGAATTATATCTTAAACTTTTAGATCAATGGTGAGATTGAAGTTAACGCGACAATTGAAATAACTCGAAAAACCGGTCTGTGAAAATTAGTACGGCTCGGCAGTGGATAAAATACTATGATACAAATAAATAAAAAGGTGTTTTCGATAAATCAGCACCGAGAAGTGGCCGAAACATGCAATGTTGCTTTTTGCACCTTGTGGTGTTGGATCCAAGTAGAATAAGATAAAACAATAGAATAGATAAATAATAGGTAAGATCATGCACAGTACTTAAAACAAGTTACAGGTAAAGATATAGCAGAGTAGAAACATCGGTGTCATCAGGAAAGACCGTTGTTCTTGTTGATTTTGACTCTTGAAACCATTAAATTAATCGTTAATTAATCTTATTTTTAATAATGTATTGTATGTATGTATTTTACGATATGTGACGATAAACAATTATTGTGTAGAGTGCAAGAGTGGCGGAATGGCATGCCGTTTACCTGACGTCGAGAAGTCCTTCTCCGTCTGTAACAATCTTGCCGTCAACGCACTGGAAATAAGGGACGCACTCGCAGTCTTCGTCGGCCGCCTGGGAGAGGGCCGCCGCCAGGGCGAAGCAGATCCAAATTCCTCGCCGGTCCATCTTCTTAAGTGCTGTGGCCGTCTCTGAGGCTGAGCCGGATCCTACGAGCCTCCCGCCGACTCCCCCCACGGCCTCGTCCACCGTCCGCGACCTTCCCAATCCCCGAGACGCCCCTGCCCTCTCTTCTTTTTATCACTCCCACGCTCATTTTTTCTTCTCTTTTTTCATTCTCCGAGAGAATTCACTTATGTGTCATTGAGTCGATCGCGCTTTTCTTCTCCCCTTTGCTTCTTCGGTAATTGGCTCAGAGACCATCTGTTTCCCTTTCTGATCCAATTTTTAAGTCCATAGCCCTTAGAAAATCCAAAAATATTTAATTTCAGTACAGATTTATAATTAAACGGCTTGATCAGCTTTCTGTACAGCTTGTCCAACATCTTTGTTCTCTCATTATTATACTTTTTACATTTCATTATGAGATGTTCCAGGTCTCTCTTCGCTTACGTAGTCTGTCTTTGCCCTATTTTCTTCAAAAAGGTCCACTTATTACGTTAGTCCTGATACTATTTATTAGACACACATTTAGTAGTGCACACTTTTTTAGACATTGGGAAGTTAAAGAACCACGGTCTACTGCTGATCGTCGGTTTTATATCCCGGAAAATTTACCAGTTGAGTAGGGACCTAGTTGCTTGTTCCATGTCATATACTTCCTTTTTCCAAATGCCTTTGAACTCCTCCAATGGTATGGGGCATTCTAAATCTTGCTCCTTTTTTTCACAGCTTACTTTGCCCCGCTGTCCACAAGCTCGTTGCCTGTGTAAAACGGTTGTACTTAAATTTACATAGAAGTAGTGTTTTGTATCATTCACTTAGCCTTTAAATTCAAAAAAAAATTTCGATTTAAGCGTGTTCTTAAATCTCGTTTTAATTTCTTGGTTTGTCCTATATATTTAATATCCCAATCGTTACAATTAAGTTTGTAAATCCCTCTTTTTGACAAGCTGTCAACCTAGACTTTAGGTTTCAAGATGTTTCTAAGTGAACACGCACAGAAAAGCTGCTTTAAAACCTTCTCCTTTGAGAATTTTACCTACTTTCTCAGATAGTTCCCCAATGTACGTCAAGCAACGAAAACCTAATGACCTAACGATTGTTGATTCTTTTAAACTTAATTTGTCTATTATTTTCACTAGTGTAGAAATGTGTAGAGATTAGTGACCGTTAATCGATAGTTATTCAGATATCGTGAGATGCGGTCGGGTGTGATGTAGGTTTCAGAAAAACATTTTCTTTATCGTGCCAACGTTTCGATCGAGAGTCTCAACACGACACACAAGGATGGCACAATTACACAGAAGACAAACACTTTGAGCCCTGAAGATGATCTCAATAAAAGATCGAAACGTTGGCACGATAAAGAAAATGTTTTTCTGAAACCTACATCACACCCGACCGCATCTCACGATATCTGAATAACTATTTTCACTAGCATATTTCTTGATATCTATTGTTTTTAGCCAAGGGTTTAATTGTTGGTAATTATTTTTTATAATTAGCAGGCATTAATGAGAGTTTCAACTACGGTTTATAAGCCAAATAAATCCAACAGCTTTTTGGGTCCATGGGTGAGAAGAATCCGCAGGTATCATAGGGTTTGTAGTTGTGTGTTTTCAATATATGTCTATTTCAATTAGGTTATTTATTATAGACAGTTTTAAGTCTAAAAACCATCTTTGTTTATTTCCAATGTACAAATTTATATTAGGATGTGAAGAATTAATTAATTGAAGGAATTCTTCGAGATACTTTAGTGTACCCGATCATATACATAAACTATCATCTACCTAGCATTTCCAAAAAAGGTCAGATTTAATTAATTTGTTATTTGATTTGAAAAGAATTTTTTCTAAGTTATACTTGAACATTTCGGCACATATATTCCGGTAAAATTTACCAGTGGAAGTCTAGTTGCTTGTTCCACGTGTCGTATATTTCGTTTTTCAAACTGCCTTTGAAGTTTGAACTCCAAGCATGCGAGTTGGATTTGATTTACACACGTCACGTCCGTGGAAATGAAAAAAATAAAATAATTATTTATAAAACAAAATTTTATTTTCATTATATCAAACAAATTTGTATCTCAATGAATTTTTCAAATAAAAACTAAAACAAAAATGACATTCATCTTTGAAGTATCAGATAATGTGGAGTGTGGAGACAAACACTCCTTTTTTTGTTTTTTATATCACGGAAAGACAAGTACAAACAAAAGAAGGACTATTTAAATTACTATTCATTCTTATGAAATAAAATGTATAAAATAAAGCCATGTATAAAAAAGAATACAAAAAAGGGCGCACCATACGGGGCTTGGAATGCCGATTTTCATGTTTTCTTTCAGTTACCCCTCTATATAATAAAGTATTTACGTTTGATAGATTATTCTTTTGTACGAATATCAACACGTTTTAATCCTCTTCCAAACAAAAATATTTGTTTACCTCAGCAGCATCCCTTTACTTTGGAATAATTCAGTCTTTACTACGATGTCAACGCGTAATTTTCAAGTAATTTCGGTTTACGTGTTTAAACTCGGTCACCAGAAACATCAATGAAGCTGTAGACGATGGCAGTGTGAGAGCACCGTACAGAAATGGCTTAAAAAATTTCGAGAGGCAGACTTTAGCCTTGAAGACAAAGAAGGATTTCTTCCCTAGATGATGATGTTCTACGAGCTTGAGTGGAAGAAAATTCCAGAACAACATAAAATCTTTCAGTTAGCAAATCGCCCGTCGCTGACCACCTTATGGCAATTAGAAAGAAGAAAAAATTCGAAAGTTGGGTTCCTCATGAAGAAACGCACCTATGCTGGATAGAATTATTACTTTGATGAAAAGTGGGTCCTCTACTATAACAGAATACGTTCTGGACAGTTGCTCGAGAAAGGAGAAGCAGCACATTTTCAAAAGCCCCCAACTCATTAAAAAAGGTGATGGTGATTTTTGGTTGACTTCATTCGGATTGATTTACTATATTTTCTTGAATCCTGTCGTAGCAATCAATACTGAAATGTATTGCTCTCAAATTGAAGCAATGAACCAAAAATTGGCATTAGTTAAGACGTCTCACATGTGACAACACAAAAACTGTTGGACTTTGGTTATGAGCTTTTGCCTCACCCTCCCTATTCTCCAGACCTCTCACCTACTGACCACCATTTTTCTGACACCTGGACAACGTTTTACAACATACAAAATTTATTGATCAAAAGTCGTCAGAAAAATCGAATTTGTTAATAATAAAGGCTTTAAACTTCAAACAGAGGGTACTGAGATGTTGCCATCACATTCGGAGAAGTGTATTGAGAGGGATTGAAGGTACTTTAATTAATAAAAAATGTGCAATATCATTTATTTAATTCGCTCATTTTATAATCGAAGACCTGCATTATTTTCTGTAGAACCCAGTAAAACTGAAGCATAGCCCTTTCTCAACTCATGGTTTCAGCCTGGCTGTCGATGTCCATTCTTGTTCTCTTGATTGGCCTTTGGTCCCTGCTTTAGGGCACCTTATCGACTTGTTGTATTATTGTTGTTTTTATGCATTTTATTTATATTTTCAAATTTGTAATGTGCCATTAAATAGGACCACATAATGCACCTGAATATGAAATCGGTTGAGGGAACTGAAAACTCACCTCAACATAATTGCTTTTATTTATATTTAAAAATATATATAACTTATAAAAATCAAATAACAAATAAATATAAAATAAGTCAATTTAGGTTTTGGACAAACATGACATTCAATTTAATACTGCTCAATATAAATTCGTTAATTACTAAAATTTAGGGGAAAGATTTTCATTACACACTAATTTAAAAAGTTTTTGATGTATTTTAAATAATGGCATTGCTTTACTAAATTCGGAATGTTGCATTAGGAATTAGAAAATCAAATATACAATATATTCTGATTCCTGTTGTTTCAAGATACATACTGCAAATGTAGGAAAGAGAAGTAAGTGCTGAGAAGGATTCCCCCAAATTTTTATGAAAAAAATTATTTTATTACAATGAGTTTTAAAGTGTATAGCCTATTGTGACAATGCGGTCACCTGCTGTTGACCTGGATGATGAATTAAATTAAACTTTTGATCTTGAATCGTAATATTAAGTAAAACTAAGTAATTAATTAGTTGACTAAATCCTGAGGTTGTATACGAGGGACAAAAGAAATTAGTGATGTTACACTGATCACAGCTAATCTACACATATTTTTGGTAGAAACATCTTTGTTTAATAATCGTGTCTTGTCAAAATTGGTATAAAGTGGTTTGCGAGGTCTAAAGATCTTTTATGTTCTGAATGCTCCAGCCGAGTATAAGCCTGTCGAACCCGCAGGAGAAAAAGTTTGAAGAAAAAGAATGCTCATCTGCCCAAGCCACACTGCAAACCATCCTTTGGTGTCCCTGTAAACCCATTTTAATTTAAAAAAATTCAAATAATTAAAAAACAAATTCAAAATTTGAAGAGAGGCCTTTCTGAATTGTGAAAATTAAGGTTCTGTTCAATCTGAAAAGTTTTGCAATGTAAATAATGTAATTTGGAGTTTAATAGTTTCTTGAAATGTATTCAGTTTTTCTTTTTGGAACAGTTCTAATTGAAAAAGAACATTTGATTTGAAATATTAGTTGTACTTTTTTTTTTTTTTTTTTTTTGCACCATTTGCCAAGTGTGCATTGGCGATTTTATTCTTCAGCAATCAAAAAACCACCTGAGGGGGGCAAGATGTATATAAAAAAATCACCTAAGCAACAGAATCAAGTCACTTACCATTAGATGGAGCTACAAGAAATGACATTTTTAACACAACCTAAATGCTACAAAACACATATATTTCTTAAAATAAAGTTGCAGCCATCTCGCATAGAGATTTTTCTGGCAGTAGCATGTCTACAAACTAAAATGTTTTACATAGGAATAGTTTAATATAAGCAGAGGTCATTGCCCATTATTTATCCATTTGTCTTATTTTTTTAATGTTATAAATTCTTCTAATATACTTTCTGAGAATGAACTATGTATATGTCTAAGTAAAACATTTTCATTTTATTTTGTCATTTTGCTTATTACTTATTTATGATTGCTCTTATTTAACACATTCGTTATACTATTGATTTGTAAAGAATCACCAGAGAAACAGCAAAAATTTTCACAAAATGTTGTAAAAAATTCCAAAAGGTCAAATGGAAAAGTCTTCATAGTAATGTTGCCAAAGCGATACTAAACTACTAAAGTACTAACTAAAGGCCAGACCGATTTGATTCCAAAAATACCCCCAACATTCTACAAGCTTTGAAAGGAGGGTTTTCAAGAAGAGGTGAGTCATTTTGGAATGGCATCTGTATATGGTGATGGGTTTAGTTTACTTTCAGAATGAAAGATGTAACAAATGTAACTAAAATAAGACATATCCAACGGACAATGTCCTGCACCTCTATTAAATTATACCAGGAGCATAGCTGATATCTAGCTGACTGGAAAAACTTATAAAGTAACAGAACTATTAATAACTAGGGGACCACAGAGGGTATGGCGTCTAACTCATATTTGCCATGCTAACGATTATGATATCAATCCCAGCACAGCCCAGGTTGAGAATAGTATGAAAGAAGTATTTCACCTCTTATATGTTGCCAAAGCGATACTAAACTACTAAAGTACAAACTAAAGGCCAGACCGATTTGATTCCAAAAATACCCCCAACATTCTACAAGCTTTGAAACGAGGGTTTTCAAGAAGAGGTGAGTCATTTTGGAATGGCGTCTGTATATGGACTTTATCCTTATACTCCTTTATCCCAAATAGCATAAAGGAAAACAACTCAGTAAATGATAGATGACTCTAACTCGTTACAAACAAAGAACAATGTTTTGGGAAGTCTCAAGCCCTGCACAACCCTCATGAACATCTTTGTCACTTCCTGGTTGTTTTCGGATTGTGATAGTAATAAACCGATTTGTAGTTGAATAAAAAAATATACATATATTTAAAAAATTCTTTCTGTCAAAGAAGGAGTAGAGATGTCATACAAGTTCATGAGAAAAATTAAATTAGTAGTATCAAATTAGAGACCAAATTAAATTAGTATCCATCCATGTACACTCGTTCAAATTTAATTAATTTTTTCTTTCATTTAACATGCCTAACATTTTTCAGAAAATTCAATAAATTAAATTGTTAACAATCATTTTTTATTTTTTGGTCTGTTTATCTGGGATTGGTCTGTCAGACTTTTCCCCATGTTCAAGTGTGTTTGCCCACAGGAATAAATCTCAAATTTCTTTATGTGGACTGTTCCAACATGCAGACAAAATCCCATTACGGAGTGGTGTCCCCTTAAGAAAAGTTCGACTCTACTTCAAATTAAGACTATTACTATTCTTTAGTAGTAGTCATTTGTCGAAACTTAATGAAGTAGCTGTGCATAAGTTAAGCTGTTTCTGCAATTCAACATTAAAGGTACTAAATAAGAAATACCTGACGATGCCTGGCTATACGTTGGCCAGTCAGATCAAAAAGCCTGACTTGACGGTTGTCATGGGGGATGGCTATAATTCCCAAATTTGAAACAGCCAGCTTGTTGATAGCAGAATCAGATCTTATTGTTGCCTGAGGGGACCTCATGTTTCTCAGATCCCAAACCTTAAAAATAAAAATAAAACATCTTTATTTTTATAAATATTTTTTATTATTATAAATTCTTAATAAAATCAATAAATAAAAGTAAATATGTATTACCTTGACTGTCCTGTCATCAGAGCCAGAAATCACCTTTTCTTCTCTCTTTGTAAATATAGCTGATGTGACAGTACTAAAAATTATACACATTCTTTAACTGAATCGGAATTTTGCATCATACTAAACTTACTCGGTGTGACCTTGAAAAACAGACACTGAGTGAATCGGTTCCCGGAAATCCCAAAGCCGGAATGTCGTGTCCTGAGAAGATGTCACAATAAGCCTTTGTGAATGGTGGCCACAGACATGAGTGATTTCTTGATCATGACCTGTTGGAATTCAAACTCAATAAAATGATGTAAAAACTTGCAAATGTTATAGCCTCATGATAAATTAACTACAGTACAATTATGAATAACAATTTATTGGTTGTTAAATTAATAAATTTATGTTAATTATCATTAGGTTTACTTTTAATAGTAAACTAAATGATGAAAGAAAGTTAGATTCAATGTTATGGTAGCTCAATTGTAGACCATTGGCATATCTATTAATTTGAGTCCCACTTGTTACATTAATTTTTCGTATCGACTTTATCTTCATAATTTAGTTTCCCTATAACAATCAAACAAGTTGAAAAGGCATTTACCTGTAAGTGTATTGACTAGTTCTTTTTTTTCTACATCATAAAGCCCAGCAGTTCTGTCCCAGGACGCAGTAATTATCAAGTCTCCCCCTGACATCCAATCAGCGTGAGAGACGACGCCGGCATGTCCAGTCAGCTCGGCAATCGGTGTCCGGAGTGTGGAAGTTCCTCCACCACCTTCTATGTCGGTATCACAACCACTCTCACCTTCACCACCACCTTCTATGTCCTCATCAGAAGATGCTCCTGTTTTCTAAAAAATCAATTCTATTAAAAATAAATAGAAGAAAGATCAGTGCACTGGTTGGTGAAACGGTTAAGGTGACTGGAAGGTATCTGGTTCGAATCTCAATGGAACTGAACCTGTGTCCAAAATACTTCCAAAATACTGACACCTTTTTCTTCCTCATTAATTAATAAAACTATTTTCAGGGAAACTTAACTCTCAACCTGACAAATCTCTTATTATTAAAATGTGAAAGGTTAATAGCATGTATTTTTTAATATTGTTTTTTAGAATTAAAATTTAAAAATAATACATTCTGTGCAAAAGCTTATTAAAATACGCTTGGAGCCTCCTGGTTTTCAACTCAATTTCAAAATGACGCAATTTTTTTTCAATTAAATATCCTTCATCCATTAATTATTGCACAATACTCTAAATATGATCAAGATTTATTTTCTGAACTCAAACATTAAAACAACAAATAAATCTAAAATAATTTAGGCAGGGTAGGCAAATACGAACTTAGAAAAAAATATAATTTGAAAACACATGAGCGGTGGTATATTGCAAAAAGTGGAACAAAACAGAATTTCCTTATTGTACAAGAAGGGATTGTGACAAATGTAAAGGAGGTAAAGTTCTCAAAGAAAGTTGGACCTGCTCCATGCTCGTTGATAAACAAATAATCACCCCTCTAAGGCAAATGACACCACCTGGCTAGAAATAGAAGAATAGATAGGAATTGGAATTGTTACACAATGTGACAGGCTGAGGGTTTAGATTGAACTTGATAAAAATGTAAACTCACATTGTAATCTGGTGTAATTGCTGCTTGCCAAACATGAGCTGTCTGATCACCTGAGGCTGTAAGTACTAAGTCTCTTGTCGGATGGAATCTGATTGAGTTGACAGAGCCTGAGTGACCGATGTAACGAAGAGCACATTTCCCAGATTCCATAATCCAAATTAATGCTGTGTGATCTAAACATGTTTCATACATTACAACAGGTTAAATGACTGTCAGTTTAAATAACACCTGCTGAAGCTGTTCCGACCAGCGGTACACCAGGCCGAGCAACGGCAACGTCCCAGACACCATCACGATGTCCTCTAAGCTCTTTCACGACTGAGCAGACTACAGAAGGTGTTTTGAAGCTTGATACAATTTTCGACGTTTGGGCTTTCAACTTGTGAGCCGTTTTCAACTTCTGAGATGAACCACTCACTAAATTAAAGCATAAATATAATTTCTTGTTTTGGCCTCAATAAGATACGTACATTTATGTTTTGAAGTTTTCACAGGTATTACATCATCGGTAGATTCAAAAATAGTCTGTTGTCTTTCAGGATTGTAATTTTCCTTTTCAAGCTTTTCATTAAGAGCATCTATCTTGTCATGTACTATAAAAGAAAAATGTATTCACTAGATATATGAAAAAACACATAATAAAAAGAAATTAAAATTTAAAACTGATACATTTTTAAGGTGTTAAATCTAATTCTTAGTTTCTTTAAATGGTCAAGCCATTAGAACTTACAATTCAAATTTTCATTGTACAAATTCTCAAACTCCTTTTCAATCTGTGCAAATAGATCCTGCAGCTTAGACCTTAACATTTGCATAGAAAAGTTAAAATTAGTACAATATATTAAAACACATAAAATTCCAACTATCACAATACCAAAATATAAATTATGTATGGTTAATTCTTTAAAAAAATTAAATTAAAAAAATAATATAAACATTAAGCAAAACTCTAAACACATTGAAACAAGAATGATTTTGATTGTTTAAATGGATAATTGACTAGACAAGTAAATGTTTTAACAAAAATATCCCATACTTTTGATTGCCTCTAATGAAAGGCCTCCTGACCTTCCTTTTTTCCTGAATGGCCAGCAGCTCACCAGTGGTATTCCGAGTTGTCCGGAAAATAATGCAGATTTATGATTATAAAATTGAAACAATTAAGTAAAAAATTATAAATTTTTTTTATTAATTAAGTCCTCCATCACTGTCAATACACTTCTCCCAATGTGATCTCTATAATCTCTGAATAGAATTTCCAGGCTTTATTATTAACAAATTCTGTAATCGCATTTTCTAACAACTTTTGATCGATAGTGTTTTTTATATTGTAAAACATAAACATAAACCAGGTGTCTGAAAACCTCACGTGTCTGGAGAATTAGGAGGTTGAGGCAGAACCTCATAACCAAGATACAGTTTTTGTGTTATCATATGTGCGACATGGGGCCGAGCGTTGTCATGAAACAGAATTGGCCTTTTCCAAATGACCAAAAACGGCTTAACTAATGCCCATTTTAGGTGCATTGTTTCAATTTGAGAGCAATTCATTTCAGTATTGATTGTTTCGCCAGGATTCAATAAGATATTGTAAATCAGCCGAAATGAAGCCCACCAGAGATTACTATCACCTTTTTTTGATAAGTTGGGGGGCTTTGGACAATGTTATGCTGCTTCTCCTTTGTCAAGCAACTGTCCAGAACGTATACTATTATAGCAGAGGACCCACTGTTCATCAAAGTATTAAGTTGGCAAAGATGTGTTGCGCAAACTTCATAATGTTTTTTTTGTTTTTTTCAGTCATTAATGCACGGGGAACTCAACTTTCGAGCTTTTTCACCTTTCCAATTGCCTTAAGGTGGTCAGCAACAGTCGATTTGCTAACTGAGAGATTCTCTGCGATTGTTCGAACAGTTCTGGGATTTCCTTCGTCCAAAGCATGCAGAACATCACCATCTAGGGAAGAAATCCTTAAATGATCTTTGTTTCAAGGCTAAAGTCTACCTCTCGAAATTTTTTAAACCATCTCTGAACTGTGCTCCCACTCTCACCGCCCCAGACTTCATTAATGTTTCTGGCCGTTTGGGCACCATTCCAACCTAGACACATGTTGTTCAGTAAAGACTGAATTATTCTCAAGTAATGAAATGCTACTGAGGTAAACAAACACTTTTGTTTTGAAGAGGATTAAAAAATGTTGACATCCCTACAAAAGAATAATCCATCCAATGTAAACACTTTATTATTTAGATGGGTAATTGAAAGAAAACATGAAGCATTATTTTCTGGACAACACAATATCATTTCACTTGGTGTGAAACTTCTAGTACACTACAAATGTTTTTGAAAAGTTCAATAACCAAATTAACCAATTAAAAAATGTTTTTGAATAGTGCTTACCCTTTGATGAAAAGGGTGCTTTTTAACTTTAAACATTAACGTTTAAACGTTGTGGCAAGTTAACAAAACTTGTATTAACTAAGTGGGGAACAAGTTTCTGAACAAACAGTATTTTAATTCGGGACTTATACACAAAAGTCTACACTCCTTTTTTAGTAGTTGAACATATATATACAATATATACACATATATATTATATATACAACATATAATCATTTATAAGGCAATTTCTTACATTGTTAACAAGGAAAAGCTCAATTCAATTTGATAAAGAATAATAAAAACAATTTGTCGATGGTGATCGGTGTATCTCATAGAAAGAAACGTCTAATTTACCTGATGACTGGTGGAAGATTGGTGTCCCCTTCGACGTCTTGAGATCTGAAGCTGGTGTTGAGCTGGCTATAAACGTGAGAGGGCATCTCGGCTTCGGACCTGGGGATGCTGACCCGTTTGCTCTTCGACTTGCTCATCTCTTCGATAAGTCGGCCGGTCGGATTCAGCGGCCTTGTCTGGCTGACATCCTCGCACGGTGAAAACAGAGTCAAAAATTATTGTCGGAGGAATCGAACGGCCGTCGAGCTTTAACTTTTGTTTCTCGAAATGGGTACTTCACCCGGTGACGTCAATCGACTTACGCAATTCTCCCGAACTGGGCCTATTAAGTAATTCTCGCAGTGAAAACAAACGATATGCCATTATATAACCAGCAGGACCGGCGAGAGCTGCGAACGGTACCAGATACGTACGATAGACGACCAGGCCGAAGTGGTCCGACCAGCTGGCAACTATTATTTCGATCCGCCAGTAAGCTTGGTACTTGGCAGAGGCGAGGCCGAGCGCTGCCAACAACTCTTGTTGCCCCATTCCACGGCCGTTTTACGTCTGTCTATCCGCTGACGCACCGACGTGCCTGGTCTCATCCAACTTTCAATTTGATCTTTTCAAAAAGTTCAACTAAAATAATATACTTTTTATGTAAGATCTTGGTTGAGATGAAAAAGTCACGAGCGGGATTCGAAAGTCACGATAGCTCAAGAGCCGAAGGTCGTGGGTTCGGATACCGCTCGTGACAGTAACTTTTTCATCTCAACCAAGACCTTACATAAAAAGAATAATTAATCGAAATAATATAGTCGTTTCATGTCAATCTCAATGATTTATTTTGTACGTCATGGGGTTGTAGTATACCACCTTCTTTAGAAGCTTTTGTACCCCCTGTATTTGCAATAAATCTGGGAATTTGATCGTTTAACCTGTTTCTTACACGGTTGTATTGTAGATCTGAAAATATATTTCTTGCGTAGAGGTGAAGCACCACAGACTTACAGCATCCCCTTGGAGCCAATTTTGCAGAATACCTTTGGAAGATAAATTTCAGTTCTCGTCACGAAGGCCTGTGCAGGCTGAGATAATCCTAGAGATAGGAACAGCCAGGGTCTGAAGGAAACACACGGGAGCCAAATCCCGTCATGAAACCTGTTAAGATTTGGAGTCATTGATGTTTCGTAAAACTGTTTTACTTTCAAATCATATTTTTCCTCATTATTACTCACAACTTCTGATTTTCTGTGATAATATGATAATACTAATCCCAATCCGGCATCAGGGCTCGAGTCCTGTCACAGTCGAGGCAGATCCTTTACCTAAAGGGCCATCAATCTATTGGTATATATATTTATGGTTTCAATCTATTACTGTGTGTCCTGGAACCCAGCAGATAGTGATTCCGTTTTGCATTCCCGAATTATTTAATACAGGCTAGCAATTCAGAAACGTTTTTGAGATGATGGTGATCAAGTTCAGTGCTTTAATACTCGATAGCCATGTCTGTTTCGTATTTTTTGTTCTTATTACCTTGAGTACATTTCTATTTGGTGTACATCCCTGTGAGTACCCGTCTCCTTTCCATCGTTTTTCCAACAAATTGTTCCTTCCTCGACCGTGGGGTTTTCCCCTGGAAGATTTGTTTAAATTCAATATCTTGTTGCTGTCACCTCGTGGAGCCATGAGTATCGGATAGTCTCTCATTAAGATAAGACTAAAATTCACAGATTAATAAACAAAACTAATTGAACTAGTTTATCTCTTGTTGTTGATTATTTCCTCCAGTTTAAGGTTATAATTGTCGAACTAGTACGACATACGTAATATGTATAAGATTTATTTTCATTGTAGCGTTTCGAAGGTCTAACCGGCTTCCTCTTAGAATCATCAACTGAGATCGTTAAACAGTCAATTACAATTAAAATAAATGTACATACATATGCCGTACGAGTTCATTTATTACAACCCCTCACTAACGATAAAAAGAAAGAAAGAAAAAATTGACACACTTCTCGACAATCACGTAGAAAAAAATCACAAAAATACACTGATGGACAAATTTAACGCATCACTCAATTTATTTAGTTTAAAATTAAATCCGTTATATTATTACATTAGTTATTCAAAGGAGATATTCAAAGTCAAAATAAACATTAAACAATTCTTCGTTTACTTTTGTACTGATTCATCCCATTTGCACAAAAAGTTACTAAGATCGCTTTCACTTAACCTTTTTACTTCCTTGATTTCATTTGATATTATGCTAATTCTTAAGCCTTTTTCCAGTCAGGTATTTGAGTGGGTATGGTAGTGTCAAGGTCATAACATTATTAGAGAAGGATCTAGTAAGAAGTCGTCAAAAGACTGAGTGTAAAACACTCAACAATAGGAAGGGTTCTTCGGCACTTCAGAAAAACAGGGTTTCACACTCGCATTACGACGCAAAGGAAGGGCAGAAATATTGTCATTGCTCGTGGGAAGTTGGCCTCACATCGTATGCCCCTTTGAGACGACCTGCAGCAACAGCCCGCCACCACCAGCTCAGGAGAATATGGTGCAGGAAGCGCCTAGTAGAGGACACCAATTGGAAGTCGATTATGTTACAGACGAGTCGCGTTCCTGTCAGCAGGCGGCGAAGAGTACCGAGAACAGGGGATGCGTACAGTGCCCCAGTTGTGCTCCCTTCAGTGCAGTTTGGAGGAGGCGGTGTAACGGTATGCGCTGGGGTTTACACTGGAGGACGAACTGGACTCCATATTGATGAAGGCAACCTCACCGCAGTCCGTTATACCCAAGAAATTAACCATAATGCCTCAAACCAGGGATCTCATTGGGCAGGGATTTTCTTTTTCTAGCTGACAATGCCAGACCTAATAGGGGCAGAGTTGTTCATCAATTTTAGAAAACCTGAGAATTACCATCCTCAGCCAGTTGGCCTGCAACAACTGAGTGCAGTGTGCAACATCTTTGGAGTGAAATTATTTACGAAATTTGTAGTACCTTAGTAACAGTATACCTAAGGCGCACATTGGTTTTAGCTAACAGAGGACATTGTTAACGGTAGTAATCGTTTAAAAAAATTATCATGTTTAATAAACAAAATTATGGAATTAAAACGTTTTTTTTTGTTATTTTTTCAAAATGGCTTAATTAAATTTTCCTTCAGTAAAAAATAATAATTTCTAATAAATTTTAGTGTTATTTATAATTCTAGGGGAAGTAAATGCTACAAAATTGACAATACCCCTATTCATTTTGAGCAGTGAATATAAAAAATGTTAATAATACAATTTTCGTTATAAAGAAACCAGCTGGAGATAAGTGACTCTAGACAGAAACTCTACTAAACCATTGTATATGATGTATAATTTATATATTTGTAAATAAAAATTTTGGTCTGTTCTGTCTGTCACTTCTCTGATCTCACCTGCCCTCAAATGCTAGGTTTTGATTTTTGAGCGTGTTCATCTGTGCTCCGATCTGGTTCCGAGGCCCTTAGACACAGCACGTAGGGATTTTGTGCCCGTCCCCGAATAAAATCGCCTTTTTAATCTAGGATAGTTTTTCGTGTAAATTTCTTCGACGCGAAACGGTTTCGAGCTCGGGCCGAGGGTCAGAGTGAAAATCGGCTCGCGCCGTCTCAGCGATGGGCGAGGCGGACGGCGGATTTCCCTCATCAGCGGCGGAGTCGGGGAAATCGTTCCACCTCCCCCGTGGGCCGGAATAAAATCCTAAAACCGGGGGGCGAAATTACGAGAGGGTCCTTCGAAATTGTGCAATTTCAAGGCGTCAGGGGATTCGTGGGTCCGTCCTTCGGCCGACTGCGACGAGATATCTCCTCCTTCGGCTTAACCTCAACTCCCGAATCAGTCAGTGTTTCGATACGCGCGGTGGTGCAGGCGGAGCGAGATCGGTCGTTTATGCGTTTTCAGGCTTGGATTTGATGGAAGAAGAGGACAAGAGGCCCTGAACAACGACACCGAGGATAGGAACGATTTGAAATGCCTCCCAAGCAAAGGAAAATCGCTATCATGGGCTACAGATCCGTAGGTAAAAATATTTATAAACATTCGCCGATTTCGGAAAATCAGTCTCGAATTAATTTGAGTAACTATTTGATTTTTCAAGGCAAATCTTCCCTGAGCATCCAGTTCGTCGACGGGCAGTTCGTCGACTCGTACGACCCTACGATAGAAAATAGTAAGCGCCGTGCGACTTCCCCTCTTATCTCCCTGGCCTTAGTCGTTTATTGCGCGTTTTACGTGTTTTTTTTTTCCTACAAGTAATTTCTTTTTCCTACCAGTTTTCACAAAAACGACTAGAGTGAAGAGCCAGGACTACGACCTGAAGCTGGTCGACACGGCCGGACAAGACGAATATTCGATATTTCCGGCTCAGTACTCGATGGACGTCCACGGCTACGTCCTCGTCTACTCGATCACGTCCTCTAAGTCCTTCGAGGTGGTGCAGATAATTTACGACAAACTGCTCGACATGATGGGGAAAATTCAGTAAGTGCACTTATCCCATCCTTTATTATTAATAAATATGTTATGCCGATCTAACATGAACAGGTTGACAATGTTAAATATAAAGGCCTTTTTTTTCTCCACCACAGTAACCCTGCAGTGGAGATGTATATTTGACACGCTTCCAATATGTGATTACATATTCTGCAATTATATTAAATTGAGTTAGTTAATTCTTTTTTTTATTGTTTTATGTACTACATAATTAACAATTAAAAGTCACAATATTAACAATTTTTTTTATATGGGGCCATCCCTCAGAGTAGAAACTCTTTTCCTAATGCTGATCTACCCTGTTCTTGTTTTTCACATTCGTAGATCAGGTGATTCCATGTTTGAATGCCTTGGTGATTGGTTCAAATATTCTCTGTTGCAGCCATGTTTAAAATTATCTGTCAAAGTTAGTTGCAACCCGCTGTTAATCGTCATAAAGAACTGTTTAGTTTGTTTTCCATTCTTGCCATTTTTCTTCAATGATTTTTTTCTTTAAGTTTAAGACATAATTATGTGGCACTTTTGAATATAGGATGTTACCAACCTTTCACTAAGCACAGCTTCCTTTGCTCGACTTCATCTTTCTTTTGTCTCCCACGTGTGCCTTGATCTACTTCAGATATAATTTCATTTGTTTAGGAACCTAAGAGATTTTTGTTATCTTTTATTTTCATAATCGTTATCTGACTATCTGTTCATCTATATATAAAGACTTAAAATTATCCAATTTTTCATTCAATTTGAAACTGATATCAATATATTTCGGTTTTCCTAAAAAAAAAAAAAAATCATTGATAGGCCTTTTTTTTCGAACAAACGTTTAAGGCATATAACACAGGATGTTTTTTTAAATATTTTATTTTCTGTGTTCTGTATTTTGCTTAAATTAATACATATAATTGAGTACAAATGTTTCCAATAATTTGACTTAATTATGCATAAATCAATTTATGGCAGAATGTAATTTTATAAGTTTGTATGTTTTTTTGTTTATATGTTGTCATTTAGTTTTAACAGGATAACAAAGGGAGAAAAATATATACGTAAATACTAGAAATGATGGTCAAAACCACAATCTAAACTCAACGTTAAGTTTAATTTTGTCTGTCATGCGCTTGAAATCTGTTTTATTTTCAAATTCACTAAATATTGGTAAAGTTTCCTTTCTAAGAAGTTCCTTTTCGGATATTAGCCATTTCTTCCTCTGGAGAATATATGCTCTTATAAGCGAATATCTATAGCGGTCCGATACAAGACAGTCTTATTGTGTGGACACCCGGCCAATATATGCATTTATTAGGTGTGTTCCTCTACATAGTGTAACTAAGATAGTGTTCCAACTATCTGTGGAGGGGACTGCGGTAGCCGAGTGGTTAGCATGAGAGACTGTCACGCTGCGGTCGTGGGTTCGATTCCCACCGTCGCCTCTGGCCCTTTTTTCCCGATAACCCCCAATTTGAACACACAAGAATTCGTACCATGGCTAATATGCAAGGTCATAAGGCCAATAAAAAACAAAAAAAAACAACTATCTGTGGAAGTACTTCATATATGGGCTGTGTGCTGACAAAATCGTAGTGAGGCTGAGTGTAAATGGTAAAACGTCCTTTATTGCTGTCCTGGATGGAATGTCAGGAAAGAATATTTTACTTTATTGACCTTTTTGTGAAGCCTGCCATCTTTTATGCCATTTATTTATTGTAGCTTACTGTTATAGTCAAATCAGTAGCTGAGGAAGCAGCTAGATGGTCAGCCTCTTCGTTTTCCAGAATCCCAACTCCCAACATAATTGGATCATGGACTCCAGCATCCTAAAACTTCTTATTTGTAACCGAATGTCCTCAACGAGCATTACTTTGTTATATACATTGCAAATAGCATGCATGGCTACTTGACTGTCCATCTTTATGGTAAACTTTAGCTGTTCATCTTTGTATGAAAATATTTCTGCCCAAATCATCACTTTCTAATTTGCTAGTTGTTCAGCCCAATTGTTTGAGGATATTTTATGTAGTCTGAACTTTTCCTCATATATTTTTTGTCCTTATGATAAATTGCATATGTAGCACCCATGTTGTCCTTTATTTTGTTTCTGTATTTGTATATATAATAAACCTTATTGTCTACTTGATTAAGGGTTTGTTCTATTTTGACATTTGCTGGGTGCGTCCAGTTCTTGTAAGACACTGAAAGAAGAAATCAACCTCAAGGTTAATAATTCCCTGGAGTCCTCTTAGTGTCATGTACTGCTCACCTATTTGCAAAATTTTTATTCCTTTAGGTATTATGTTCACTATTATGCATGCTGCCTCATACGATGTGGTGCGATATTATTCTTTAGACCCTTTCAAGCATTTTGTCACTTGATAGGACATCGACTGCATCCATCCATTCTGGCACATCATAGGTCATCATCAGCAGAACAACTGTCATAAATCCCTGTAGTGTTTCATATCCTAGTCCCCAGTTAACTTTTGCTACCTTCGACAATGTGTTTACCAACATCAACGTTTTTTCAATTACCTTTTTCATTTGTGAACTCTAGCTCTTTTTTTTTTTTATTTTTATTTTTTTTTTTAATTAAATATTCCTGAATTGCCCAATTCATTTACTAATTCAAATTAAGTAAGTTCAGATTTTCTCTAAGAACTTTTGATTTTTCTTAACTGAAAAATATTCTATTACTTTTGGCCCAGCTGTAGATAGTTCTTAATGCTTTATTTGCCAAAAGTTAACCAGCTGGTTATTAAAATGGTTTAGGGTATGATGGTTGCATGATTTCAAAGAACATTTTTTCTATCAAGGAGAAGCCAAAATACAAAATGAAAATTCGCAGTATAAATTTCTTCTGTAAATAACACTGTCTTATAATAGACAGAGAATGTAATTCACAGTACTGATAAAATGTCAAAACAGACTAAATTAGTCAATAGATTTATTTTTGTTTTGTAATTACCCTGAAATTACATTTAACTTTCCCTTTTGCATTCCTCAGTTTGGTAACCATTTCCCTTTTTCTTTCATGTATTTTACTTGTGTCACCTTAACCATTTTGAAAAGTGCATTCTAATAAGAAATATTTCACAATTTTATTCCAATTTTCCATCTTTGATGAAGGTGACAGTCATCAACCATATAAAATAATCTCATATAATTATATAATAAAACAGTAATGTACAATCATTGATCAGTTACATGGTAAATTCAAATATAAACAGTCGAATACAATTCTATATATACCAATCCATATAGTATTTAGTAGTTGGGGGAAATTGTGTTATTCAAATCAATTTCATTGAGTTTTAGTGTGTATATTGTAGGCACTCTTTCCTTTAGATATAACAAAGGCATGATTTGTAATGGTTTTATACATTTTTAGAGTTCCAATAGTGTTGGTCGGTAATAAAACGGATCTTCACATGGAGAGGATGATCAGTTCAGATGAGGGAAAAAGACTGGCGATATCCTGGAAGGCGGCTTTTCTGGAGACTTCGGCTAAACAAAATGAGGTAATTTTTTTTATAAGTCCGACGCATCCAGGACCTTCACATCAGAGTATCTACTTTTCTCTGTTATCATTGTAAACATTTGATATCTTTGGTTTACATTGTTGGAAAATATCATGAGAATTGAATAAAATAACAAAAAGAAAGAGAAAAAAATGTGAACACTTTTTCACAGTTCTGTCATATATCTTTATATCTTTAAGAAATTATGAGAAGTTGAATGAAATTCACAAAAAGTGAATCATTATATATATACAAAATATTTCATTATTTTTGCCTTATGAAAAAGTAAATATGACTCATTTTATAAAAGAGTTGTGTTAGTTGATTTGGTTCTTATGTCTTAATTATGTGAAAATGATGATAGAAAAATTATCTGGAACATTTTAAAATTTTTTTTTTAATATTTTAAGAGCTAGAATCATACTCTGATTGAATCATGCTAGGCAGTAAGTATGATGATGGTATATGAGGAGAACCCAGTCTAGTTTTTATTATTATTCTTTTTATTGTGCACAAATGTATATATTAAACAACACAGGGTTGCGTTATCAGCTCGATTTTATGTGTAAGTCAGCCACAATTTTCTTTTCTTTGATTTTGGATGACCCTCTCCTCATCATTTCTTGTTTTTGGTGTACGTATTACCAATGAGGTAATAAAGATGATTTTCAGGGTTTCAAAGAAACGTTACAATATTGGTATCATAGAATCAAATAAATCATCTACATTTACCAAATAGTATACATTGATACATTGTAATGTATGCAAAACAGTGAGAGCTGTTTAATTTGGTGTTCATTGCCAGAGGACAGAATATTTGGCAGTTTATCCGACAATTGACAATTGATATAGTGATTGCAGAAAGAAGAGAACACCAGGCAGATAATAAAGTTAGGCAAGTCTTTCATAATATTGTCTACAGAACATATTTCTTTTGAGTTAATAATACAGTCGACTAGTTAATTTGAAACTTGATAATTCAAATTTCTTGATAGTATGAACTCAGCAGGTCACTTCGGTAAATCGAAAAATGTTCAGTTTTACAGTTGATCTATATCCACTTTTTCATTATATTTTACTATGTTTTACATATGTACAGTTTAAGCAATAACTTGGAAAAAAGCATATCAACTCTTCAACATTTTTTTTTCTTTTCTTTCTCCTTTTTTTCTTCCTTTTGATAATTCAAATTATTTTTGTGGTCCCTTGGGTTGCGAATATTAAGAGTTGACTGTATATCCATTTTTTTTAGGAAATTTTAATTTTGTATGCACTTTTAAGTTTCAGTTGAATATATAGTAAGGTGATATATATAGATTATTGATATCCTCCCACTATTTATAAATGTATGATCCTCACAGTAATATAAACAATAATAAAAGTTATTATATATTTATATGTATAAAATATAGTAGACTGTGGTGGCTTAGTGTTTCGAGCATATGATTCGTATTTGCCTATTTGCCACCATAGTGGTTCTGGGTTTGAATCATTGACAATTGATATAGTGTTGCCCTTGGAATTTGATTTGAGTTCAATTTGGAAAAATTATCAGAAGGTGGTTCTGAACCCTTGTGGTTGGATGTTAAGCCCTTCTGTATGACAGGAATTACTTTGTTTTTGAAATATCCCATAATTAGTAAAGACCTGATAAGTTTTAATATTGGTGGTGGTTGTTGGTTTGAAAGTCGCTAAATACACTATTTTACACTGAATGATACTTGATGTGGTAAGTTTTATTTATTAGATTAGTGTCTTACCTTTTGTAAAAATTATAGAAAAAGCTAAAAATATGAATATAATAAACGTTAAATGAATAAAGAAAATTTATATATTGTTTAACTTAAATGAACGTTTGACTTAATTTTCTTGATAAATGGATATGAAATTAATTTTAATTTTTCGAGTGTAAAAAGTTACTTTGCAGTGAATGCTTGATTAATTGTTTCAGTCAGTTGCGGATGTGTTCCATACAATGCTATTGGAAATAGAGAAAGCCAACGGCAACGTGACCGACAAAGGAAACTGCACACTCTCTTGAACCCAGGGGGAAGCATATTCGTATATATTTATGAGGGCGAAACGGTGCATAATGGAAAAAAAAATTATGAGCAGATGATTGACATCCTACAATAATGGGTATTTGTCTTTAAAAACGATGAGTGCCATTTAACTTGAACAAGTAAAATTAATTAAAAAAAAAAAATTAATAGAGAGATTTTAAATAGCTCAAGTAAAATAAAATTAAAAGGTTTTTCTCTCAATAAATGAAATTTCAGTAAATCGTTCAACAAAAATTGTATCAGTTGGTTTTTAAATGAAGCATTTCATAAAATCCACTTAGTTCCTAATTAAAGACAAACACCTGTTGGAATGTCATAAATTAAATTTTTATTTATAAACGTACCTTATGTACAGTGATAATCTGTAAGAGTTTTTGCTTATTTTCATAGGTTTGTCCTTTGATTTTAGGATAAACGCACTTGTGAATCAATTACATGATAATATTTATAAAAAAAGATAACAATATGTTGTAATATACAAATTGCAATGTAGGATAAAAAGGACTATCTTTGAGTTCTTCTATTTTCACAAAAACATTTGTATAAATTTAACATAATCTTATTGTATAATACATGTTATTTTTGTGGACATAGGTTAATACCATATATGTTTGTTATGTATTCTTGTTTTATAGTGTTGCATAATTCTTAGCACAATTTATTCATTTCTTAAACAAGTAATAATATTACCATTAATGTTAGATCGTTTTGTTTTTTTCGAGAGCCCACTTCACCTGGAAACATTTTTTTGTTTTAACATAACAGATTTCCAATGGTATGAGGGGTTTCCTGATTTGCCATTACATTGTTTATATTTTGTAAATTATATTTATATATTATTTTTATTATAATTTCATCATACTATAATTGTTAATCATTGTAGTTATTAAAATGAATATTGTACTACTTTGTAATAATTTAATTATTGCATTGATTTTGTTAAAAATAAAAGAAGGTTGTGTTAAACAATTGGCTGATTTTTTGTTACCTTTTCTTCTTCTGTAGGTAAAATTATTAATTTAATATTAAATTAACATTTTTTCTATGTTTATTTATACATAATAATCCCAATATAGAACAGTCATACATATCAAACAATTACATATCATTATGTAATCAAACATACATAGTTAGTACTTATTTATTCATTATGTGGAGTTCTAAAATTTTTTGACCTGAAATGTCCAGAGAATCAGAAAAAATGTTAGACATTGAAGACACAGTATTAAGAATGAAGGTCAATGTGAAAGAGCTCTATGTGCCTTAAGTTGCAATGTAGCAAGTTAAGTTGGATCATCACTAATAATTCACGGGAGGATATATTATTATTCAAAATTTTCCATCCACAGGTTAGGGTATACAGGATGTATCTGAAGTATAGTGACAACAGCCAACAAGAAGTCGTCTTTCTTTGTAGGGAGGTCTATCTTGCCAATCACTACAGGCACCATACTTTATGTACAAATAGTTGACAGCTCATTTCTGGATTTCTCGCGTCTGCCCTGCCACTCGGATACTCTAGTAATGAAGCATATACCAGGTGCAACATTGCTGCTGGATAGTCTACAAAACAGCCCAAATGAAAGGGGAGCCCAGTGATACTAGGTGAACTCAGAGAGTATTTAGCCTTATTCAAACATGCAGGGCTCTAATGGAGCGGATAACTTAGTTCTTTAGCCACTCATGAGATTCGTATGGGAAACAAGTGGGATAACACTGCTTCACAAATAAATAAGATTCTGAAGACAAACCTCCAAGAAGACAAACTTGCTAAGAAGAAAAAGAAATGAGATTTCATACCAAATCAAAGAAAAGAATAGTTGGAACCTTGTAAATCAATCCCCACACTCAACCTTCAAATAGTAAAAAGAAGAACATTGGTATAGCACAACACACCATATGCAGATTCTGCAAAGAAACAGGTAAACACCGACACACCTGCTATCAAACTGTGGTATATTTCCCCATAGGAGGGAGGGTTTTTGGATGTTCAGCATAACTGCAGAAGAAATTCAACCACTGAAATCAGGCCTAATAATCAAATCCCTTGATGAACTAGGACGGGGGAGACAACAGCTCTTAAATACCATAATCTATTACACACCCTGAACAATACATCTTGCAAGAGATTGGTACAAAAATCGCATTATCTTCATGTTCGTGAATTCAACCGTTAACTGCCTGATAAACCCAAGATTTTTTTTAATGCTATCAAGTACTGAGATCAATTTTGGAATCAATCTTCTCCATGACAGATCATTCAGTTTATAACTGGCTGGGCATTCCTCAGACCAGACTGAGAGAGACTAATGTGCTTACATTTTTTTCTATTTTGACATTTAGTAAATTTAGTTTGCACCATTATTCAAATGAATTTAAATTCCTTTAGGGAACACAGGAGTCGTAATTGGAGGTGATTTGTTTACAAATCTTCAAGTTATCAGCAAATAATGATATTTGTGTATGCTCAAAGACTGTCTATATATTCAATAAAAACAAAACACATGTAGGTCCAGTATGTGAACCAACCCAAAAATAAATTTTAAGGCTTCTGAGCACAGACGTTGATATTTGACTATCAATGACCTTTTGAACAGGAAGGTCCTGGAAAGATTCTATCCAAGAGATAAGTGACTGATCAACTCTCACAGCTAATAGCTTCATAAAGGGTAACGAAGGGTTTATCCTGTCAAAAGCTTTGGATGCCCGTGTAAATACTAACAACTTGATGCTCAGATCCCAACACCTTAACATGAAGTCTCTATGTATTACTAGGTTAGTTATTGTCAACCTTTAACCAAACAGGGTTGCAGTGTAGAGAAAGGATGATATTAATTATAATTGTTTTAAAAAAAGTATTGAGTAAAAGGAAAAGTTGATCAAGTATCAACTTAGGAAATAGTCAAGTATTAGGTGTATTGAATTTTAAAACTATCAAATTTTCTTCCCTTAATAAGTTAATTAAATATACGAACTATAAGTATTTCTAGTAAGGTTGATTGTGAGATGGGTTCAAAATAAAATGACCTTTTCATTTTGGTGTACCGCTATTCCATTATGAATTATTTATTACATTTTTTGTTTTTAAGGCCGTGTTTAGAAGGTTGGTGGCTTTAATAGATTGGAAAATGTACTTTATATCATGTTGTGTTATGTGAAGAAATAAAAATACATGATTATGGCCAGGTTGACAAAACGTCGTACATAAACCAACTTCCAATTTACCAACCTCCTAAAATTGGCTTAATAAAAACAAAAATAAAATAAAATATTTAATATGAATGCTGAAACTATAGTTAAATAATTATATTAAAAAATATTCTATAAAAATGACGATGGTGTCCTTTCCCAAAGTCCAAGACTAAGGTCAAGAAATAATTCATAGCAGTCATAGATGTGAAGGAGTACATTTATTTACGATTTAGTTTTGAAGTATCGATGTCAATATTTCGATACTAGTCACAACCGTCTAATTAAGGAAAATTAGTGTTTAATTATTTCTTTGGGGAATGGCAACTGTCACGGAAGGGCTTCCGATTAAAAATTGCGTTTTCATTTCGACGATCGCCCCTTTGACAGTCACCCGACACAGACAACAATAATCCTAACGAATACTCTCGACCCATGGAAAGGTCTTGATGAAAAGCAATTTCAATCTTTACTGCTAAGCTTTCGACCTATTAATAAGGTCATAACCAGGCCAAAACAATCTTAACTATGCCTACAAATTGACATATTTAAATTTTTCACAGACGATTTCAATTTTTTTTTTGAAGACCGACTCAGCCCCAACATTGCCATGGAACCTTGTTTGTTACAGTTTTTGGCAAAGTTGGGATTGAGTCGGTCTTCAAAGAAATTTGAAATCGTCAGTGGAAAAAAATTTCTTTTTCGTTACATACATCTAACGGTTAAAACAATAATCCAAAAGTAGGAGGAAAAACGAAAAGCATTAAGTCCCGGCCCGTTACTTCTGTCCTGATCCTTTTAAGGTTGTTTTTGATTATGCGATGAAACGCGGATTCGAGTTGGAAAGCGGGAACAGAGAAGCCAGTCACTGCCGAGTTCCGAGTGCCGGCCGTTGGGAGGAGGGGAGAGTCGTCGCCCTCACATCACCGGCGATCAGCTGTTTTTGAATACGTTATCAGCGGCCGTCGCCTCCTCCAATCTCGGGCCCCCTCCCAACGGCCAACCGCGACTGTTTCTCGCATCGGGAAATCCTCTCCTGAAAAGACCTGCTTGACGGGATTTGCACTCCAGGACGATTTCAAACGCAGTTTTCCGTTTCAACGCCGACTACGCTTCTACACAGAACAGAACAGGTAGGACGATAACTTTTTTGGCGTCGATATTTAACAAAAAAAAAAAAAAAAAAAAAAGCCTCCCCAATAATTCGAATTCGACGGTCCCAACGGTCGCCTTGGCCTCGCTCCCGATTCGAGTCCCCTTTCCCCGACCACCCAGCTTTTCTTGAATATAACGCAGATTTGAAATATTTCTGTGTTTGTTTATAACCGAAGCTCGTTTTACTAATTTGTCGATCATATTTTCAATATCGCTCAGTGTAGCTTATCTTTTGTTCTAATCAAAGCGATTTGGCAAGGGCCTCGAGGGTTGGAAACAACAACAAAAAAGAAGGAAGAGTAGAGGCTGCCTCTTTCCACACGACATTATAATAAATATATTCATCTAAAAAAATCTTACTATAACTATTGTCATTTAACGTCTTTTATATCTCCCAGTGGTGGTAAACGCTTCCTTTTTTTTTTTTTTTTTTTTTTTTTTTTTTACACTGATGGACAAATTTTAACGCATCACTCTATTTAGTTTAAAATTATATCCATTATCTACATCAGGCCAGGTAATTAGGAGCTATCGTAGCCAAAATAAACAGTAAATAATGCAAAATAAAAGTAGCATTATGCCTTTCCATTCTGCAACGCCTAAAGATCGCTTTCAATTAATCTTTTTCCTTCGTTGATTTCCTCCGAGATTGTTTTTATTGTTAAACCTTTTTTTCAATTGGTCCAGTCAGGCATTTGAGTGAATATGACAGTGAAGGGTCACAATATTATTCGAGGGAGGATGCAGCCAGCGCCAACTCGCCAGAAGTATGATTGTAAATTACTCTACAATAAGAAGGATTCAAAGAAACAGGGCTTCACACTAGAAGGCCAGGACAGGGTAGACCTAGGTGGAGGGAGAGAGAGAGACGATAGGTTCATCCATTATGCTCCAAGAAACCGCAGCATTACAGTAAATGAGATAAGATGTCTGATAAGGCATGTTCCGAAATGTTTCGATTTCCTCCAGGACTGTAAGAAGAAGGTTCAATGAAATTGACCTCAGGGCCGCCCTCTACCCGGATCGTGGAGCTCTTATCACAGCTCAGAAAATGGCCAAGCTGCAATTCGCATGGAACATGTGAATTTGACATTTGAAATTGGGGACGAGTATCTGATTACAGTTGAGTTGAGAGTTGGCCTCAAATCTTCAGACGGGCATAATTCCATATATAGACGCTGATGAGAAAGGTACGCCCCGTGCTGTATGGTTCCTCAGGTGGCATTCCACGGTGGGTCATTGATGTTCTGGGGTGGCATTTCCTCCTTCGTCAGCACCGAATTGGTTGTTGTGCGAGGAGATCTCTAACTTCACTACTTACAAGATATAATCGTAGAACATGTAGTGCCATTTGCCCCCCCCCCCATAACGGTGATAGATTCTTGCTAATGCAGGATAATTGCTAGGCCCCATAGGGCATGTATTGTGGATGACTACCTAAATGAGGTTGGAATCGAGTGCTTGGTGTGGCCAGCTCGAAGTCCAGATTTGAACCCAATCGAGCACATTTGGGACCCTGGAAGAGAGAAACGGCTCTTTTTCAATCACTTGATGATTGGGAAAGAATTCCTCAGGATTTTACCAGACATTTTATCCAAGGAATGGAAAGGCGTTTAATGGACGTGATTCGTGCCAGAGGTGGAAATACTCGGTATTTATTTGTTTTTGATTTTTTTTGTTCTCATTTTTACTTTCATACTCATTTTTTTTTTAAATTAGGTATTAAACATTTTTTTTACAACCAAATCTGTTTTTGGTATGAACAATATGAATAAACCTAAATACATTAAGATTTAATTAAGGGTGATGCATTTATTTTGTCCATCCAATTGTTGTTTGTTTTATTAATGGTTTACGGGCGTCCGAACTATGGACAATGAACTTTGATTAGCAGTGGACCGTTAATAAAACAAAACAAATTGTAATTGCGTAGAATTTAATTACTATTGAAATATGTAATCATAGGACTCAAAAACAAAAACCGGAGACTCATAATTTTTTCAAACTATATGTATGTATTTTTATCTTTATATTAATTACAATACTTATTTTAATTAATTAATCCTTATGTAAGGTATTGGTTGAAATGAAAACGTTAGTGTCACGAACGGGACTCGAACCCCACGACCTTGGGCTGGGTTCAAATCCCCCTTGTGACACTAACTTTTTCATTGCCACCAATACCTTACATAAAGAGTAATTAATTGAAAGAAGTTATTTGGTCAATCGGACCACGAAATATAATGGTCGGGGGACCGCGGTAGCCGAGTGGTTAGCATGAGAGACTCTCACGCCGCGGTCGTGGGTTCGATTCCCACCGTTGCCCCTGGCCCTTTTTTCCCAATAACCCCCCAAATTTGAACACACATATACGAATTTGTCACATGGCTAATATGCATAGTTCATAACGCAAAAAAAAAAAANATATATATAATGGACTTATTTTAATGTAAACCAAATTAAACGAAGTAAGAAATTCGCGAGTTTTAATGAAAAATATTTAATTATGATGGTTTGAAAGAAAATTCACCTAAACACCGTAACAATATTTTCTATCACTAGACGATTTTCCGGCATTTCGGTCAATTTTCTTTTAAACCATCATAATTAAATATTTTTTATTAAAATTCATGAATTTCTGATTTCTTTTAATTTGGGTTACAATAACATAAGTATGTTGTAATTAAGTTTATATATATGTTGATCGGTATATATACTTTTGATAGAATAAGTTACTTATTCTGGCCTTGTTGACTTATAGGGCTGCTGAAGAATGGCCAACAGTTCGAAACGACAAAACATTTAAAAAAAACACCACTATGGATTTTTTTGCAGTACCCTTCATCTATATCGTGAACCGTGCATAACAGGACAAAATTAAAACTACAGACTGTTGTTTACGTTTTTTTCTTAGTCAACGTTATAAAAGTAGTAGTAGTAGTCTATGGGCGTTTAAAAACTGCCAATTTCAACTTATTTTCTTGGTCTATTTGTGGAAACGCATTTCTCAAAGAAACGTAAAGATGTTAAAAAGTACTTGCGTTCAGTTCTTAGAAAAGCCCTTATGTATTTCTACTGTTTATGAATATTTGTGTAATCCAAAATGTGATTTACATTTGTAAACAAAAACATACAAAAACTAAACACTATTGAACTCAAGAATATTTTTTGTGCGACAACAGTAGACGATTAGTTGCAGTTAAAATTATTAGCCAGTCATTTATATTCCTTTTCATCGTGCTTATGCTTAGACTAATTATATTGATTGCGATAAAAGTGTTTTTTAAATTCATATTCCTAACTAGGTGTTTTTGTTTTTAAAGGTACAATGGAAAATAGTGGAACTTTGGCCGAAGATTCGCCCATGACATGCCTAGCTACAGATTTGAACTCTGCAAATCTTAATTCCCTACCGCGGACAAAGTCGCTTTCCCCTCGGACAGGTACGTAAAAGAAAAACGTTTTTCTTTACAATGTGATCAGATATAATTATATTGTTTTTTATCGTGATTATTGTTTTTCCGATTTTTTTGTATGTTTGCGTGTGAAACATTTATTGTATATGCTATCTTGTAATGGGTTTTACGATTAGCTTTACGTTATTGTGTATATACATAATTTTATTATGTGATAATAATTTTCATTGTAATAACAAATCTTAACAAAGGCCGATGAACAATAAATAGACTATTGGTAACGAGCGGATTTTAAAAGGGCTCGTTCAGGATTTGGCATAATAGGTACTTGACTATGTTTTGCTAAGAGGGATCTTTTGGGAACGTGTCGGGGACAAAGGGAAAACAGGTAAACTGGTAATGTCAGGTTGCGGGGGTGTGATATCCCACAAAAGGCACTTGTTGGGGTGTCGCCTACCTACATCACCACTGTTGGCAAGGGGGGGCAGTGATTCTCGTCTCACTCCCATTCAAACATTAAGCGGTGTCATTTTTAATAAGTCTGTTGTTTTCTAAAATAGTTAAGCATCGCGGGAATTCAGCGTGAAAGTTGGTGTAGATGAAGCTTACTTCTCGGCTAATCTTAGTACGGAAAAATTGAATCGATAGATTGTTGTGTACATTAATAATAAAAAACATATTTCAATGCAAATTTGAGATTAAAAGGAGCTTATACACTAGAACACAATGGGGAAACCAATATTTTTATTTAATCAAAAATGTTACTTGTCATTCCACTTTCCTTTGGTCAATAAAAAATTCCATCCCTCTTTTATTTTTTTGTTTTTTTTCAATTTTCCTCTATCGTTTGACGTGTAGCTGGGGTTGAGAGCGCACGTGCTAAACCGTTAGATGGGGGTCGCATGCCCTGCAGGGGAGATGCAACAATGCACAACTCCCTTCGTCTTTGGCCGGCTAGCTAAGACGTCTCATTGTTACTGCTAAGAACGGTTGGGGTGGCCCTGCAGATGACGATAGTAACGAGTTCTCCCGATTATGGTTTAGAGATAATGGAATCGCCGCGAGGTATGAAGAACCATATTGGCCGAGAACTGATTCCAGGTCGGATTGGACTTGAGGGAACTTTTTTAGTAACGGTAGGCCTGACCATTACTTATGAACACTATGATTATGCAAGCAATCACATTCTTGTCAACGTCGGCCAGTCCACCTAGGTCAAATATCGCTTCCCGCCGCCACAGACCACTTTCTTTATTTAAAGTCATTTATTCACATATTTACAGTTTACAAGTTTGCTTGGAGTACCAGTTTATTTTACCAGAGTAAAAAAGTGTATGTCTAAAATACATACGTACATTATACTGCCCTATGGTTCTTATTTCAATATTTTCGTTCGCGCGCGCAAAAAAACAAAACAACAAAACTGAGTAATACAATAATCCTTAATATTGGCAGTTTGCATAATTTTGACTTAATTTGGTGCTAAAATATTTTAAATAAAGAATATTGGTTCTTTATTTGAACTAAGCACACCATTTTTTTATGCAATATATTTCAGTTGGTAATGCATTACTGGCCACGTCTCTGGTTCCTCTTCAGAGCTAGAATATTATAATAAATAAACACTTCTTTGTATCAAAAACAGTAAGAAATTATGTACATACATCCCTCGCTATTTATGGAAAAAATACTTACAATAATCAAGAAAGAAAATATTTGTAAACATATCTGTTTTATAACTACTTAATAAAAGAGTAAGCACTGTCATTTGAACAATTAGAGACAAAATAAATTTAATGGAACAAAGTAAAATTGTTAACTCATTAAAGTGTGTTTGTAAAAAGTCTTATGTTGGAAAAACAATACATTTTCTTAAAAACAGAATAAAATATCACGAAAAAATTGTCATAAATCTTCACCAAACCAGAGGATCACCTCAACATGTTTTTGGAAAACAAAAAACAAATTTGAATTTCAATATATATATACANTGTTTTTGCATTTTATAATATTGCTGAGTATTTATTGTTTTTATTTACAGTAACACTCTACATATATTTATAATATTTATTTTATATGAGTTTAGTGATAAAAAGTATTCATGGCTGTAAATGCTTAACACGTTAATATTTATTTGCACCAAAGATTTGTATAGTTCTTGTCACATTGATATCTAATAATAAGTATTAGGGGGGGGGTGTCGGTGGCCGCAAGGTTTAGTCCTTGATACGGCGCTCACACTGTAAGGTAAAGGACCTGCATTCGAATCCGACATACTTAACAATGGTTGCACCTCTGCTGTTGCGAACCCTCGTTAAAAGGAAAAAAAAGAAAAAAAGAAAAAGGATGGTTAGGGAGTAATAGAGTAAATTCGAGTAATAGAGTAAAGTAATTCTTGTTTTTGTAAGCTTTTAATCTTGCTACCGTATGAGTTCAATTCAGCTGAACAGCGAGGTACGTAAATAAAAAAAAGATTTATTACTGTTTTTGATAAAAAGTATTTATATATTATAATATATATTGCAGCTCTGAAGAGGGACCAGGGGCGTGGCCCGTAATGCATTAGCAACTGAAATATATTACATAAGAAATGGTGTGTTTAGTTCAGATAAATAACCAATATTCTTGATTTAATCATTATTTTCCATCTACGAAACTATCTCAACAGCTTTTGTAGGGCCTGGGTCGATTGGCTTTGCTGTCAGTTCTCCATGATGAGCCATACAACGCAGTATCATCAGAAAACAAGGACAACATAACGTTGTCATTTATAAATGTTATGAATAATAGCAGACCAAGAACTGAGCTTTTTCGGCACATCCACAGGTAGAATCTTTTTTCAGACAGTACATTCCCTACTGGACCTGATCGCTTTCTGCCTGGCCGGATCTAAGTCTACATATTCCAATAACGTCGCGATTAAAATTTACACTGGCATTGATGAATGATAAGACCGGAACTGGTTCGAATTTTTTTGGATCTGATGGATAGAGGATAATGCGGGATGCAGACCCCTTTTTAAGACCCAAATAGTAATTTTTAGCGGATAAAGTTAATAATCCCCCACAACGGAGTGGACGAATGCTTGTCTCTTAGTAAGTGACTGGGGTGAGTTTAGAGGTGGGTTTGACCCCGAGGGACTAGCCCACATCCCGACAATGGTTGTAATTAATAAAAGGGATGGACAAGTTAAGCACGTGCTGCTCGTATGGACCGCCGGGCGGGGAGATGAGATCAACTGATTTCTCCTTGTCAATGAGGCCGAATGCGAGCAAGGAATTGAATGAGAGAGGAAGAGAGAGAGAGAGAGAGTGAGTGAGAGAGAGAGAGCGAACGAGCGAGCGGGGGAAACGGATGGAACGGCCGGTAGGGGTGAACACTGGTGCAGCCCCGAAGAGAAAGAAACGAACGTTGCATTTTTCTTGTGGGGATCCGGGAGAAAAAAGTCCACAAAGAAGACGGTGTTTAGGTTTCGTAATGGGCATCGGTTACTGGGGTGAGCCAGGTGGATAAGGACAGTTGGCGTTTATTATGCATATTTCTTGTAAAATCAGTATATGCAAGCATCAACTATTATTAAGTTTTGTTAACTTAAATTTGAAAAAGTTGTTATCGTTTATTATTACCTTTCTTCTCGAAACACCTATAAAGCGAAATTAAATCAATTGCAAATCTTTATAAAATAAAATATAATATGTTTTTTAATGCATCTCGTCTCAGAAGTCACTTGCGGTGCAAATTTCATGACTTGAACTTCTGCCGTGATTTCTGAGGTTTCCTCTTTAGGTTTATTTGGTGATGAACTGTAGTTTGAGCGTTTCAGATCATTTTGGTCTGCCCGAACCTCACCGTTTGTAGGCTATGAAACGAAAACACCTCCGAATAATAGACAAAATGATCGGAAACGACCAAAACTAAATCAAAAATAACAAGAAAAAATGTGTGGTGTTTAGTGACCGTTAAGTCAATGATTATTCGTAGATCGTGAGATGCGGTCTGGTGTGGCGTAGGTTTTAGAAAAACATTTTCTTCATCGTGCCAACGTTTCGATCTTTATTGAGATCATCTTTAGGGCTCAAAGTGTTTGTTTTCCGTGTAGATGTGTCATGTCGTGTTGAGAGTCACGATCAGTATAAATAACAAGTGGAAAATGAATGGCGTTGATAGTATTATTGGATAAGCTATTTTTAAAAATCACTTTTTAACATACCTCCTGGTTTTTGTGTTTAACTTTCCGTAACTACATTCCTCAGCACGTTTTGATGTTTTATGCTGTTGAATTAACGTTTAGGTTAACATAAAAAATAATTACAAATATATTAAGTATATACAGGGTGTATCAACTTCTGTAGTCCACCCATTTATTTCGAAAACGATGAACATTATCAAAATTGGCGTTATACAAACCCCAAGTTAATTTTGGCTAGGAATTGCGTGGTGGTAACAGATATAACATTACTTTCTTATCTAGCTGGGAAATGACATTAACTTTGTTATTTTAAATGAAAATCTAACATTTTTATTGCACAATTTGATTCTTGAGCTTGTTTTATGCCACTTTTACTGAAAGGAAAATTTTGATAGAATCGACCATTTCTGAGTTAGGCACTACCAAAAAATTCATTCCATACTCTGTGAGTGATGAACCTATCAGAATTCGCTCTGCACAACTTTAATAAAATAATATTTAATAATAAAATTCCGTTTTCTTCCAAACAAAATTTTTATCAGCGTGTCACGAGCGATACTGTGTTACGCGTCACAAGACGGGTAATTGCAGCTATGAAAGTTTTGAAATATCTTTCAAATATTTATAAAGAAATGTTTTTTTGGTATGCTAAAAACACACCTGATTGTATCATTTATCTAGAATCTAAACTTTCCCAGTATTTTTGACCACACTAAAGTTAAATTTACCGTATGTAAATAAATATCTAAGCTTGTCACCTAGTTAAATATCCTAAGATAGTTTTAAGTGGAGGAATCAGTCCAAAGTTGTTTTGGTACGTTGATATAAATAAACTGTG